CTATTCTTTCATGTCTCTTATCTACATGTCATATTCCATTTCCTGCCCATCGTGTCGTGTTTCGTCCTTTCCATCTAGCGAATCAAGCAGCTAGCTGTCTGCCTACCTAGCTGTCGAGAAGGCTCTTATAAGAGGTGTCTGCAAATGATTGCTCAATTGCTTGTGCGTGTCGGCCGCAAAAGATATTTGCAGCATTACATGTTTCACACTGTGAAAATCACACCTTTCCTCAGAAAGGCCAAGCAGCAAGAAGAAACGTGTCAAAGAATTGGCTCCCTCCTTCGTTTCCCTTCAAAAAACAAAGGCGCCCTCGTACGACATGAGCAGATTGCCGCGGTGATGCCATCCATTTCAGGCTCTGGGCGTGTAAAGAGCTCCAACTGGACTGCCAGAAAAGCAAGCAACCAATAAGTGACCACTTAGATGGGTAAAATGGGTTCTGGGGAATATGCGTCTTGACAACTTTGCGTGACATGCTTTGAGGGGCTGCTTCAGAGGCGTGCGAGCCAAAGGTTGGAAGGCGACGAAAGCCAATCTGCACAATTTTAGGTTAGATTGGGGAGGTTGTTTGGCACCAGCTCTTGCCAAGCATTGTGCCATACTTTTTGGTGCAGGGGTTGGAGATAGCCTTTCCTTTCTAGCTTCTGGCAGGCAGCTTTCACGGCGGAAAACATCTCTTCTCGTGCCTTCCCCTTTTTCCACTAACCCGCCAACCCATCGATGTCCCAGCAAGCAGAGGTGTCAGCCCGGCGCAGTCAGCGTTGCAGGATTTGCTGGAGTGGATGCCAGGCCGGCTCTAGTGAGGTTATTTGCAAGGAGGGATGGGAAAAGAGGCCGTTCCTTGTGTTAACTTGTTATTGCCACTATTGTTCTTTGACTTTTCCTTCATAGCGGACCAGGGGCTGTTTCATGTTGCGCCAGCTTTGGTGTGTGTACCTCCACCAGTCCATCAGTCTTGTTTAGTGTTGAGGACTACCCTTCCTGACAGTTTCTTCCAGGCCCAGGCCAAGACTTTGAAATAGCCATACCCCACACCCCCGTTCATAGGATCATGCTGGGCTATGTTTATCAAAGGAACCTGACCAAACTAGATGTCGCACTCCGTTTAGGTCAGGCTTCTTATTTGACAGACAATTCAGGGTACCAGTAAAGCCAGAACTACGCCGCGAAGTCTCAGATCAGTGAAGTTGTTTAGTTCGAGAAGCCTCAGGATTTTGCTTGATTTTCACTTTGTGGACGGTTTACACACCACCTTTGGGCCAACTCAAAGTACGAAACACCCAAGTATGGCGCGCGGTCTTTGCTTTCCTCTTCTAGCAAGCACTTGGCACGGCGTGCCAAGTTGGTTCCCCAGTTGGCCAGGCACTCTGCCAGCTAGTGAGTCTGCTAGTGAGGCAGTCGTTAGCTGCCTATGCTTTCGAAACTTTCTACGCAATCAACAAGTTGGCTAGTTGAACAGCTAGCTAACGATTGATACTGACAACCAAAGAAGCAAAGAACGAAGGAAAGAAATACAGAAAGAAATAACAGAATAAACAAATCAGTCAGTTAGCCTATCAGTCAACCAACCAACCAAGCAGTCAAACGATGGACGCATCGATTGATCAATTAACCGACCAACCAACTAGTTAATCAAACAGACAAACGGAGAAACAGGCACGCAGACACACCTAAGACCACGCGAAGCAAAGCAAACCACAACAACATGACACGAGCGTGCAAAACCAGGCAACACCCGACAAGCTCCTGTGCCAAACAGCCACACAACTACCCAACCAACAAGCAGGCAAGCAAGCAAGCGCACAAGCAAGCGAGCAAGCAAGCTACTAGCTAGCAAGCTAGCAAGCGAACAAACAGACACGCAAAGCAAGCCAACGAACAACCATGAGTCATTTCACGGACGGCCCGGCAAAAGTGCGCAGAAGCTTCGCGATTTGAGATTGGCCCAGTTCCCGCGTGTTTTGGAATTGTCGCATGTTCTCACACGCGCAACGCAAACCATGCCCCCCAAACCACACCTGTGAATGACGGAAGCTCTTACATCGGCTCAATTGCAGCTGTTCAATACTTGCAGCGTTGGTGTGCTGTTCATCAGCAAACAGGACTGACGGGCTGACCTGGACAGAGAGCCCGATTTGCACGTTGTGATCGATTTGCACTTTTTGCGGAAGGCCAACGCTTTGTTATGTCGCATGAGGCAGGCTGCAAAATTCTACTTGCGTAGCGTTCCGGGCAATCTGACTAATTGGCTTGATTGAACACCTCTTCCCCAATGTAAACAAAACATATTTGACCCTCTGAGAAAGAACACCACAAAACACACATGTGTTGGCTGGAAATTCAATTCCATCCCTAAAAAAGACAACGCGCAGCCCAGGTATTTGAACACCCCTCGTCCCATTCCCCTTTCAGCTTAGGCGTGGTGGAGGAGAAGGTGCGCCAGGTGAGTTGGCCTGCCTTCTTTGAGCCCCGGGTGCTGGCCTGTGGCCTTCACGGCATTGCTCGGAGCCCTGGAAGCCGGCTTCACGGAATCCTGAATCCAATTTCGATCGTGATGGGTTGCCCCTGTGTTCAACAATGTATACTGGAGGTGGAGCTTCCATGTTTTTTGAGTCAGGTTCCCTCGAGAATCTAGCGTTCCTGGGGAAATCCGAAATTGTGGCAAAAAGCACCCTTGGTAACTTCTATGTTAGGAGGCGGTCGTACATTCCCAGTCAAGAAAAAAGACATGCGTTTCGCCAGAAAAAGGGAAACTACATAAACAGTTGAGGGCTGACGGGCATGCGCAAACATGCCAACAGCTTGTGGCTTTCTGCGCTTCAACACGCATGAACCCACATGATGCAGTTGTGAACCTGGCACGCGATGCGTTGCTGCACGTGTGTTGCTGGCGTGCTTCGCGCTGCAGCACCGCGCCGGAACTGAGGTTGGGCAAGCCCGTGCGATAGCGGGCGAGAGCGCGCGCGTGAACGCAAGTGTGGCTGCGCAAGCGCGCGGTCACATGGGCACTTCAGACACGCATGTCCAATTCAGACACACATGTGTGTATGTATACGACTGAAGCAGTATGCGCGGCGCGCGCAGATGTGACACACACACACACATGTACATTCACCTGCAGCGCACGCTGAAATGTGTTGAGCTGGAAAACAAACATGTGCTTCTTGGAAAGCACACACACATGTGTACACCTGGAACACACATATGTGTTCACCTGCGACACGCTAATGTGTTCACGTGGAACACACATGTGTGTAAACTTGGAACACTAGACCACGGTTGGCCCGAAAGCGTCACAGCCCCGACCATTCTGCGCAAGTTGCTCTGGGCAAGGTGCTTTGCGCAAACTGGTCTGTGCAAGTTGCTCTGCGCAAGTTGCTCTGCGCAAGTTGCTCTGCGCAAGCTGCTCGGTGTAAGTTGCTCTGTGCAAGTTGCTCTGCGCAAGTTGCTCTGCGCAAGTTGCTTTGTGCAAGTTGCTCCGTGCTTGTTGCTCCGTGCAAGTTGCTCGCTGCAAGTTGCTCTGCGCACGCTGCTCGGTGCAAGTTGCTCTGTGCAAGTTGCTCTGCGCAAGTTGCTCTGCGCAAGGCTGCTCCGCGCAGGAAGCGCTGTGCAACTGACTCTGTGCCAATGTCTCTGTACAAGTTGCTCTGTGCAAGTTGTTCTGCGCAAGTTGCTTTGCTCAAGTTGCTCTGCGCAAGTTGCTCTGTCAAAGTTGCTCTGCGCTAATTGCTCTGTGCGACTGGCTTTGTGCAAATGTCTCTGTACAAGTTGCTCTGTGCAAGTTGTTCTGTGCAAGTTGCTCTGTGCAAGAAGCTCTGTGCAACTGAGTCTGTGCAAATGTCTTTGTACAAGTTGCTTTGTGCAAGTTGTGCTGTGCAAGTTGCTCTTCGCAAGTTGCTCTGTGCAAGCTGCTCTGTGCAAGTTGCTCTGTGCAAGTTGCTCTGCGTAAGTTGCTCTGCGCATGTTGCTCTGGGACAGGTGCTGTGCGCAAGTTGCTCTGGGAAAGGTGCTCTGCGCAAAATGGTCTGTGCAACTTGCTCTGCGCAAGTTGCTCTATGCAAGTTTCTCCGTGCAGCTTGCGAAGCCCGCCCGCGGACCAGGAATGAATCAAACCCGCGACCCGCCGGTCCCGGGAGCAGGCGCGTGAACCACGAGACAACTCCCGAGAACCAGTTCGAACAACAAAAGTCGCAAAAACCTCGCGTTTTTGACCACGCCGATCCCCGCAGAGGGTCGCGCGGGCCAAAACAAAATTGCCAAAAACCTTCTTTTTTTTGCACCTCGACCACGCCGAAGTCGCAAAACACCTGAATTTTTGCACCTCGACCACGCCGATCCCCGCAGAGGGCCGCGCAGGCCAAAACAAAATCGCAACAAAACCTTGAGTTTTTGCACCTGGATCCCCGCAGAGGGTCGCGCGAGCCAACACAAAATCGCAAAAAACCTCGAGTTTTTGCACCTCGACCACGCGCTGAGGGTTGATTTTCATAGAGTTTCGTCGGCGCTACCCCGCTGCCCCAAGAAGAGATTTGAACTCCTCGCAAGTCAACTGCACTTGACTCCTTGCACTTGCAACTTGCACTTGACTCCATGCACTTGCAAGTTGCACTTGGCTCCATGCACTTGAACTTGCACTTGACTCCATGCACTTGGCTCCTTGCAACTTGCAATGACTCTCATGACTCCTTGCAATGACTCCTTGCAATGACTCCTTGCAATGACTCCTTGCAATGACTCCTTGCAATGACTTGTATGATGATGATTCCTGGCAATGACACCTTGCAATGACTTTCATGATGATGATTCCTTGCAATGACTCCTTGCAATGACTCTCATGGGAACAACTCAAGTGAACCCAGCGGAAGAACCCTTCGCCATGCTTTCGGAAAAAAATGTTCACATGGACATTTTCTGCACGCCTCGGCGAGACATAACTCAAATTCCCGAACCCGTCTGTGAGGCGCTATTCCATGGGACTCTGCGTTGAACAACGCTTGAAATTTATATATGCGTGTTCCAAGTAGGAGAATAATGTTCGTGTGCGATCAACCTAGCTTTGCTGCAACACGTTGCTAGCGCGCGAGCCTGCTGCTGCTGCTGCTACTACTGCTAGTACTATCAGTGTCGGATGCGTCTCCAGCATTTACAGCAAAAGCTTTCCGGCGCATTGCGCTTCTTTCCCGCTTAGCTGCGTGGTGTCTTTCGTATCGGCAATCTGTTGCTCGATAGAATGCTCTAAAGCTAAAGTGCCTTTATCTTGTTGCGGCGCTCCGTCCACCCAGCTGCGCCAGGCATCCAGGCTGACAAAAGAAGGGGCAGGAGGCAGATAAATGAACCTGCCCGGAGAGCCGTGCCAGACCAGGCTTGGACAGGCTCATTTGGAAACATTTGTCTCCCTTCATTTGTCTCTTCGTGTCTCCCAGCTGCCTGGCACGGCTTTGTGCGTGGACGGATTCATTTGTCCCCCTTTATTTGGGCCCGGTTGTCTCCCATCTGGGTGGACGGGTCACATGCAAAAAGTGCGTGTTCACTTGGAACGCGCCGATGTGGTTAGCTGGAACACAATCACTCACTTGAAGCACTCATGCGTGCGCCTGCGGCGTACTGCCTGTTGATTGTGGCTTGATCAAACGTGTGTTTCTCAGCCTCAAACAGACATGCGTGTTCGTGGGATGCCGCAAATGAATCGCGCGGAAGTTCTCGCGCGAGGCCTTGCTTGAGCACCCCGACAAGGACGTCCGCTGCCTGGAGTCCTTGGAGAAAGTTCTCCGCGTCAAGTTGAACATCGGCGCCCCGCCGGCCCAAGGCCTCATCGACCCCGACGACGTGGGCGTCGTGCCGTGGAACGTGGCGGTCTATTGCGTGGGCGCCGATCCGTCCCCCGCGCTGGACTTCGTGACCTTTGTCCTGGACTATAAGAAGCGCGTCGGCGAACTGGCCATGGTTCCGCGGCTCGGCCTCTTGACCGCGCCGCGCGGCTTCGACTTCGGGAAGGATTTTCCGCGCTGGGCGCGGATGGACTTCCCGCTGCCCAAGCCGTTCGCCGTCGGGCCGCCCAAGGGCCGCCGCCGCGTCGTGTGCCAGCTGGAGTTCGCTCGAGCTGAGGCGGCCGGGGGCGGAGAGGAGCAGTCGGAAGAGGAAGACGACGAGGAAAAGCCGAGTCAGGGGTCGGGGCGAGCGGAAAACCCCGGAGGCGGCCGCCGCTATTCGCTGCTCTTCTACAGCGGCATCTACGCCTACCGCGGCCGCTTTGACGAGAAGGACGTCCCTGGAGCGCACGCCCCGAGCCCCAGCGGGCGGGACCGCGACTACGCGCGGGCGCTGGAAGTCGAGGATTCCCCGGAGGGCAAGCTGACCATCCAAGGGATCTTCGCGGACGTGCTCCTGGGGGTCCCGCTCCATGTCAACGCCGCCTCCGCAAAGGACCCGCTGGCCAAGTGGGTCGCCGAGCAAGAGTCCGTGCTTGCCACCGAGATGGCGGAGACTGAGTGAGCGGGCCCGGCGCGCAGACTGTCTGAATTGAAGACGCAGGAAAAGCGCAGAGCGATTTAGAGAGTCGGCCTTTGCCAGCCGTCGCAATCTTGCGGCCGCCGCAGCCATTTTGTTCAGCTGAGTAGCTACAGCTCTTGCGACTAGTCCCTCTCGCGGCCAAGTTCTCAAGCCCCATGGCGGACGGGAGCGCGCCTGCTGTGGGAGATCGCGTCCTGGTGATGCGGCAGCCGTGGCTGGACCTTGTGCTGAGCGGCGAGAAGACCTTGGAACTGCGGCCTACCAGACACGCGCTTGGCCGCGTGTGGCTGGGCATGGGCGGCAAGGTCTACGGCGGCGTGACCATCGCCGGCTCCCGCGTCCTCAGCGAGGCAGAGTTCCACGAGTTCGCAAACCAGCACTTGTGGCGGCCCTGCCGTACGAAAGGCGCGTCTGCGGGCTAGCCTTGACCGCGCCGCGACGTGAGCACACGTTTGTGTTCCAGGAGAAAGCATGCGATTGTTCTGATAAAACACATATGCGATCCGGTGAACATTCTTAGTAAGGGAGTTTAGTGTACAGAGGCCACCATCGCAATCACTTTGTGCAGTTTTTCACTCACACAAAGCGGGCCTGCAAATACAATGCCCCTTCCCCACTGGAGGCGCTAGGGTGGCGCTTGGTTTGCGCTAAGGTCTTCGGTGATCTTGGTTTCCAAGAGTTGGCACGTGGGTTGCGGCGATGGGCTTTGTGTGGCTTTCAAGGGTGTAATGTTGCAGTTCTTACTTAGTGCTTGAAGCCAGCTTGCACGTTTACCTTCATCTTACGTGTTTTTCTGTGACTTACATCATCTTGGGGGCAAGATCGTGTCTAAGTGTACTAGATGCCTTTTCCTGGAAGCGTGCGCCGGGTTCTTCCTCTAACAGCGGCTGCGAACTTCTCCTGCCAACTTTTCGAGATTTACTTTGCCCCAACTTCTGCTGCAAACTTTTCCTGCGCCTCTTCCCTATCCTAACGCCACAAGCTAACTTG